AATTGCCACATTAATTGCCATATTAATTGCCATATTAATTGCCATATTAATTGCCATATTAATTGCTATTTTAATTGCCACATTGGGTTCTCCTGTGAGATGGACTCAAAGCTTCAAGCGAACACGGAAAAATACACCAAGGGTTTGAGCGTCCGAACAATTATCATCTCACACATTTGTATCTATTTCTAAAACATCCTTCGAGCGACGACACCCTCCACTAGCGACATCTAGTGAGAAACACACGAAGACTGCGATGCCTTCAGCGATTGATGGGCCGAACAGATCCACGGACGACCTCGGCCTGACGGAACTGGACCAGAAGGACCGTGTACGACACCACCATGCCGAATGCCTGCAATAAGGAAATAATTTTGCAGAAATTGAGCTTTCGAAGCACTTTTTAATCCTCGTTAAAACCTCGTCAGATTAGAATGCATGGGGCCGCTGCCGCTGGAAAAATTGCGGCCGATTCAGGGAAGGAACCTGACACCGTGAAAATCAGAAATTGTAAAACATCCAATGATTGAAAATTCTAAAAACGATTGAGTTTATCTCGAGACATCGGCATGCCCCCAACGAAGCATGATTGACCCCGAGTCGCTGGAGAATTCTGCCGGCGTTGACGGCGATGCGATAAATCATTTCCTCCGAAAAAAATTCTCTCAAATATCGGAACAATGCTTTGAAATTAAATGTGTCCTTATTTTTTATTTTTACAACCAGTACATTTACCCTGACACGATATAACGTTCCATAAGCTTCCAAAACGAAACGCGCGTGAAGTTAATCCGTCCATTGGTACCCGTAATTTCAGTGGGGGGGGGGGGGGGACAATTTCTCTTCCCATTCGTCGTCTCAGCGTTTATCCAAAAGGCATTTCCCTATAAATATTTGTAAATTAGTTAATAAGAAAATTCAGCGATAGAATTAGGCATAACGGCAAGCGTAGCACCGCGACCGCTCCAAACTATTCAATAGTAAAGCAAGAATAAAAGTTAAAGCGAGGACAAACGGAAGAGAGCAAGCAGAAGCTTAGAGAAAGACCGAATGGACGGATGCTCGCCTGCTTCGCGAGTGCCTCCCCTCGCACACCTTCATGATGAGACGCTTGCCCAGAGTGAGGTAGCCCGCTCCTGTCAGCATCATGCTGCGGTTCTTCTCGATGGAGCCCAGGTCTCCGTAACCGCTGGTTGCTCCGCTGCCCTCCATGTCCGACAGATATTCCCTCAGCTCCTGGTCCTACGCGCGGGGAAAATTTATCCATGAAGGTTTTCCTCATTCATTCCTCACATTAACGTTCCCCAGTCATATGTTTTCATTGATATTTTTTTCCTCGTGGTTCGAGTTAATAATTGCTGGCTTCAGTCTCACATTTGTTTCTTGATTTTATTGGATTTTCGTACTCTCCACTCTGAGTTCTAGCCTCGTCACGTGCTTGGACACGTAATCTGCATTATTGCGACGCGTCTCACCCGATCGAGGAATTGCTGAGCAGGCCAATTGATGATGAGGAGGATGGCGACGTCGACCACGATTCTCGAGACGCTGGTTAGGACTGAACCGAGCAGCGCTGTCATATGGACGGACTGGGCCATGTCCGTGAGAGTGGCGATGAGGTAGAGCTGCTCCACGAGGGTATAGGCGATGTAGCCGTGAAGCATGATGATCACGAGGCCGAAGCCCCTGTTCAGGGATCGGACTGTATCGCGAATCTCTCGGTAGCGGGCGCGGGCTTGGGTGCAGTCCAGCCGGAAACCCTCGAGATCCAACTTGAGGTCGAGGAGGGTTCTGGCGAGGACGCGAGGATGGAGAGCGTAGAGCGGGGCGTAGAAGGCGAGGGCGTTGGTGGTCACCATCTTGTGGATGAGGAACAAGATCCACTGGCTCCAGGACATGGTGGTGAATTGGGAGCGATTCAGCATGAAGAACGTGGAAAGGAGGATGGCCTGGATGATGAGATAGCCACAGAGAAGGTCGCGTTGGAACTTGGCGTCGGGGCGGGCCATGCGACAGACGGAGGAGAGGGCCCTGGCCAGGGACTCCTTGTGTACCATCGCGCCTCCGATCACCGTCAGGTAGAAAAGCCGCTGGGCGCTGCGTTGGATCGCGATGATCTCGGCCGAAATCCCGGAGTTTCCCTGCGCTTCGAGGTCGATTGTCTTGGTTTGCTCACCTCGAGACAAGTCTTGCGATGAAAAAAAGAAAATTATCTCGCGAAAAGCACGTGGAACAGAAAGCCAGGTCTCTTTCTCATATAGACATATACAGAGTAAGGCAAAAAGTACCAATTTATATTATTATTCATTGTATCTCACGATCACCATAATCAAACCTAACCAAATGATCGTACATTTCCTTTTTTTTAACTTAAAATCAGGCAAACTCATGAGTTGATGAGGTGGAAAGCGTCTAGCCCCAAGGAATAGGCTAATGAACCTAGTCTTGCTTCTCTTACAAAGGGTGAAGTGATCGGTTAAGTCGGTCTCCTATGGGAATTTGAGACGCCCATTATGAAATCAGATCAGTTTAAACCGAATAGGGTGCATAGCACTCAAAGCCTTTTTTTTAACATCCTCGTTGCTGTCTGTTGCGCCATCTCCCCCGAAATCTACGAATTCTTCAACACAAGCCGAGACGAACGCGACCGGTNCCCCCCCCCCCCCCCCCCCCCCCCCATCCAATCTCCCCTGTCGGCCTGCGATCTTATGAGAACTGATTTCAGGGTGCTGAAAATGGAGCTCCCCTGTGTAGACTCGCAGCTTTTTCCATGTCATCAGATTGAAAACTTAACCCCTGAAATGTGAGCAATGAGAAGGTCTCATATTTCTTTCAAAAGAAGTTAGCGCTTTAGAGGGACTCCATTGAGTTTTTCTGCTGAGTTGCCTGGGGTGAATGCTCACTCCAGGGCAAGTGGGGACTCCATTATCCATATTCTTTTCAGCTGACATTAAAGAATGAGGAAAGATGCCTTTTGCATATCAAGCATGTTGTAAGCTCTTTCAAAATATAATATATTCCATTACCAATTACCAGGAATTTTTTATGCTAGGGATAAACACGTCATCATAGCAAATGTTTCTGACATAAGAGAGTTATGTGCTCTTCTGCTAATACTCGATTCCGGGGGGAGGGGGGGGGGGCAACTTTGCCCAAAATCCAACATATGGGGCAAGTGGGAGCCCCATCAATAGTCTATATACAGTGGTGGACAATGCAGAACATGGCAAAAAATGCTTCCGACTTTCAACCAAAAGACCTCTTTCCTCGGCTATTTCTTTTTCTGCGAAACTTACGCAATGCATAGGTTGATATGTTCTCATAAGACTTGCAAAATTCCGTTAAAATAAAATAAGCCGAGGAGAAATTATTGCAAATAAGTTGGACATTGAAAATGGACTGGAACTCCAGTGCTTGAGACGCATTTTAAAAATTTAGAGCGTACTTTTTTCATTAATTCATTTGCTGGCTATTATCATTTACTGGCTGTGAATGTTTCCGAAGATTATGTTTTCAAGGTATTAAAATGAATAGGAAGTTATGTACACATTTGAAAAGTTTAATGTTGATTTCAGTGTGTCGACACGAAAAAGAGACTTCCTCAGTGTGTAAAAAATTATTCTATTGACTGGTTGCTCACGACACCTGTGAACTGTTTTACCAGTAGCTTTTAGAGCACAAAAATAAAAATAAAAAGATTTCTAGCTATGATTTAGTTGCCTATGATAAACTTATATAGCCTTCAATGTATAAACGGGAAACTTTTGGTTTTCAACAGAAGCATAGTGAGGTGTTTGGTGGTCTTGTCTGCCCAAGAAAATGACAGTTCGTTCATAATTGAAGCGCCTGCACCCAATAACCATTGCAGTATCGAAAAATGGGGGCCCACTCACCCCAGGCAACTCTACCCTCTATCTAGCCAGAGGCAAGAGAGCAATGCTGAAAATGGAACCCTGACAATATTTTTTATATTTCCCTGGAAAGCTATACAGGGTGGGTTCAAAGTCCTGACACGCTAGCAGTCTGTCGTTTCAAACAATATTTACTCTTTTCACATGGCCCTGCACATGATCAGTAATGAACCCCTCCCCCCCCCTTCAACGTTTCAAACAAATTTCGCAACCGTTACTGCTTGATTAGACATGGACATTTAGTCAGTCGGGCTCAAATGATGGCATAACATTTCTAGTCGTGCTACAAGTTTGCGTCCTGACTTTGAGCCCAACCTTTAGAATCAGTCCCCTTTGCCGGTTTTGTGTTCGTATGACTCCATCTGTAACTTGTACGGTTGGAGGAGCATGCAAGCTGACGGAGGACTGATCCCTGGTCAATACCCTCTAGATGATTTAATACATGCTTGCGACAGACCGGAGAAGAAGTAGACAGCGTCCATGGTGTAGAAGAAAAAGAGTAAAACGGTCCAGAGGAACGAGACGGAGCGCCAGGAGAAGGCGACGGTGACACCGGGACCCGTGACGGAGAAGGGAAATGAGCCCAGGATGGTGCCCAGGCCCAGAGTCACCTTCAGACCTCTGAAGGTGACCTCACTTCCCCTCTCCTCTTCATTTACCCTTTTCACCCCGTTCTCGTCCTCGAACGGCTCAACAACGGTCATCGCCATGCACTTCGATGGGAAGAGCCTCCCGTACTGATTTCCACCTCTTCACGATCCCATTCCTCCTCCCTTTCTTCAAGCTCGCGTGCGGATCACTTCTCTTCTGAAATGTGACAGGTCATTTAGAAACCTTTCGATTTCGTTGTCCCTTGATTAGGTCTGAAGACGTATTGTCAGCGGAAATATATATTTGATCATCTATTTTGCCTGACACGATCATACACTTTTGATCATCTATCTCTCGTCTCACTCCTACTCAATTTTGAAAAAAAAGAGAGAATGAAAGTCGTGTCTTAGGAAAGACATTCTCACTTAAAGAATGTGAAAAATTTGTTAGAAGGCGGGTTTTCTCATAATTACCTCTCCTTCCTTTGAAGGGTGTCCACGGAAGCTATGAGTTCTACTCCGCAGTTATCTGGCGCTCACTAATTCTCCTATCGAAGACAATGGAATAAATTGGCAAGGTGTGAAGGAGTTCATTAGTTGTCAGCGACAGGTCACGCACTGCAGAATACACACATGAAACTTCCGTATTCTACACTTTGAGCCTCAATGTGCAAACAAGTTTAAACTAATAGTTTCTATATATTTATAAAATAGTATTCCACTGGAGAGTTGACGGGAGCAGAAAGTTGCAGCATGGCTCCCATGGACACCCTTCATAGGAAAGAGAGGGACATTTTAAGATCGCTAGTTAATCCGTCTGCTGACCAATATTGCTTACTCTTGCAGAATGCATGTCTTTCTTAATCCTCTGTCATATTTTTTTAAAGCAAAAATTCACAAGCGCTGCTACATGAGACTCTCTTGTGGGAGTTTCGTGAACTTACAGTTGCTATGGCAACCTCTCTGTAAGCATTAGACACCATCCGAAATCTTCATTAAGCGAACATCGAAAGTCGAGATCTTTCAGCTCTCAAAATTTGTCTAAAATCAATATTTTAAAATAAAGGAATGATATACTGACTTCGTACGCCTTCAAGTGATACCATTTTTGATGAATGACATTTTCCCCCATGCAAAATTGATAGGCAAACAGGATGGAGGGATTATCAAAATTAGATGGTAATGTCACTTGATGTAGAAGGTGAAATATATTTTCCCCTGACAAATATTTCTAAGGCCATCAATATCAAGAGGATCTTTCCGTGACCTGTCCCACTTGAGGGGGAAATGATTCGCCTGCCATCTAGGACTCATGTCAAACAGAAGACCCCTTGAGTATAAAACTGGGGAAGAGATTGGAATCGTTAAGAGTAGGAAGTACAGCCGGCGAGAGTCATGTATGTGCGCGAGATGACCGTTGAGCCGTACCAGGACGAGAGCAAGGAGAAGGAGGCGAATGAAGAGAATACGGAAAGTGAGAATCCCTTCAGAGGTCTGAAGGTGGCCCTGAGTCTGGGTTCCTTCCTGGGCTCATTCCCCTTCTCCGTCACGGGTCCCGGCGTCACCATCGCCTTCTCTTGGCGCTCTATCCCTCTCCTTTGGACCTCTTTTCTCTTCGTTCTCTACGCCATCGATGCTGTCGTCTTCTTCCTTGGTCTGTTGCAAACATGTACTAAATGAAGGACTGAAAGGGAAAGCGGTCTATCTGCAATGAATGCCTGAGAAAAGTATGGCTGGTTTAGTAGGCATAGACCCACCATGGGTCTTTTCCCTTTCATGGAGAATAATTCTTTTTGGGATTTATGTTTGGGAAAAATTGGCCTTCGACGCAAGCCACATTTCCTTACTTCTAATAAGATAGCCCCTGGAAATTCACTCTTTCCGCATGGAGCTCGGGAAAAAAATTTTTTTTTTTTGCAGATAGACCCCTTTTCCTTTCAGCCCTTCGATTGAAAGTGATGCAATTTCGTCCGTAAGAGTAGCGGCTCCGTATGCTAGTAGCAGCCGGGACCAGTCCGGCAATCGGCTTACTCGTTTACGATACAATTTGCTGGTGGAGTTAGGTTAGAAAGAGACAGACTGGGAAGGACTGATCCGGCAGTCTCTCTGGGAAAATGTTTACATTTAAATGACATTCCAGTTCTTATTATGCATTATTTTTTATACTTTAACTGCGACTGATACTATAGAAAAATAGAACCGAATCCTTCTAGATTCTAGAATCACAAATTCCTTTGGAAGATGCAAGCTGTCTGTTCTTCGCGCGTAGTAGAGAAGTGAGAGGACAGGGGGTTCCCCCCTCTTAACTGCAGTGTCTGTGGTGGAATTACAGTCGACTCCGCTTATTGAAATAGTGATGGGACCAGCAAACTTTATTCTATAATCCAGAGAATTCCAATAACCTAAACTATCTGCTATATCGTACCGTGAATCGGGACCGTGCAATGGTACTCCATTAGGCGGTATTCCACTATGGGGAGTCGACTGTATTTGAAGTTGTGAGACGAACTAGGCAAGCTCTACTTCCTCCACGTAGTCCTATCCTCAGAGCACCTTGACCTCAGGTAAAAGAAGAGTGCAGCATTTGCAGCTTTAAACGATCCCAGTTCCTGATTTCAGACGTACCCATTAGCTACCAGACTTGGAGAGGAAGGGAGACCTTTCTGGAACACTGAATTGCGGAAGATCGGTGGGGATATTAAAAAGCGCCTGGTTTCGAATAAGAAGCGAAACTACGTACCGATACATATGATACTGATACATATCGTGGCTAGGATCCATTTCGTCGTAGTCACTCTGATTTCCGGAAAATTTTCCATTTATATGTAGGTCTGAAGGCAATTGTAGTATTCCAGTAATTCGATTTTCCCCTGGACCTAAGTGCTCATTGATTGGAGTAGCTTCAAAAATAAATAAAAACTCCGACATCTGCTATCCCCCTCCTCAAATTGCGTGATTCCACTTTATCGATGCAACAGAGCAGCTGGACCATTTCCTGGCTACCCCTTCCACGGGAATTGATTCCGCTTGGCTCCTCATTAAGGGAAACACTGAAGAGGTTGACCATGGATGACCTCATGTCGCATCTTGCGGCGTGAGATATCGGTAACTACCACAATAAAAACACATCCATGGCCACATTGTTCAATTTAAAAAAGTATTTAAAAAAAAAGGTAACAGAGTAATTTTTAAAACGTCAAACCACTTGAATGTACTGTAACTGTCACATCCATTAAGTTAGAAACGGAAAAATTGGCAACGGTCACTAGCACATATGTGAAACTTATTAACACCAGGTCGCAACAATGTAGCAATATCGAGACGTGAAGCAGAGAGTCTTCATCGTGAAATGTTTCAATCGTCGTAGAAATTCATTGGTTACAGCGCTGTTAAAGTTTCGTATTGAGAACGGGACACGTGTAAGAACGGGACACGTGCAAGAACGGGACACGTGTAGCACCTGGAAAGGAAAACGTTCTACGGCTGATGAAGTGATTTCAAACCATGTGAACGTTTTTTTTTTTGCGAGGCTGCTTAAAGGGTCTCAACGTTACCGACACGCAAATTGCGGAGTTGAAAGAACCCATAGGGAAAATTTCGGAATTTTCGGCCTTTTTTTCGAGTGAAGAATGTGTGAAAAGTGGCAGCCGTTTCGGCGAATCAGAATCGGCTTTCATCCATGAGAACTGGATCTCATTTGGAGACATACATGAAATGTAATTTTCGGCGTTCCGAAAGGAACATTCTTCCATTACGGTCCTACGGAATCTGGAATGCATTGTCACGTGACCCTTTTCGTCTTAAATTCGAGGAGCAAAAATGAAGTCGAAATGATTGCGAGTGAATGCTCACAGATTGTTCCTCGGTAGAGCAGACCGCAAATGCAAATTTGCAAATGCAAATCTGCAAATGCAAATTTGCAAATGCAAATCTGCAAATGCGAATTTGAGACATTTCGGGGGAAATTGTCATTGGACGTTCTTGCGAGTGGAATGGGAATTCGGTCCGAAGGGATAGGCAAAAGTTCCACCCGCATTTCCGTGAAAAAGCGAAAAAAAAATTTCCCTAATTTGGAAAGATGGACGGCTGAAATCAATCGCCGTCCATTTTCTGTTTTCCAAACGACGAAATGTTGGGAGAAATGTTGAAATTCCGATATGAGGTGACGGGGATATTATTATTCCGTTGAGGAAGAAAGGGGAAAATGCACCATAATGAATTATAATACTCATTAAGGGGGATTACAGAAGATTTAAAGCTCCTTCATTTCCGAATACGTCACTGACAACGGTTGGCTTATTAATCACGTTGGCTTATTCATCAGTGTAAGACTTTTGAAGTCGTGCAGCGCGTTCCTGTCGTTTCCGTCTCTCATTATTGTGGTAGAAATTGAAAAGCTGAAAAGCAATTTTTTTTTGGCAAATGTTGGCAAACTAAATTTCCAGCTCGAATTTTTTTTTTTTTGCGGCCGCTCTTCTCTTCCGCAGACGAAAATGCGAGGAGGAATACCGAAAATGATTCCTTTCGGAAAGTTGGCCGAACTTCATCTGCGAAAATTCGGCCAGAACGCGAATTTTTCAATGCCTTGCGCCTATGTTCACCTTCCATTCTGAAAAAAAAGAGGGACTGCGCCGAAAATGAATTGCAGACCATTTAAAAAGCAATTTGCAAAAGGTGGTGGTTGCAAAAATTGGGAGGTGAACACATGGAACATTGCATTCATGCGCCAATCTCCCATGTTTGCTCATGACTTTTGCCAAGTTTCCTGCTCCTAGCTTCAGTAATACATCAGTTATGCTATTTCCAGATGGGATAATCTTAAAAAAAGATGCCGTAGATGTTGATGGTATCCCTCTATATAAAAATGTGTGAGTACATCATTCCAATCATAGGGCTCGCCCGCAAGATGATCCTGTTTTTCCTTCCAATGCCAGACTTGTCCCGAGGCATGCAAGCCAAGACAGACGACTTGGAAGCGCAGGGAAACTCCGGGATTTCGGCCGAGATCATCGCGATCCAACGCGTCACGCAGCGGCTGTTCTACCTGACGGTGATCGCGAGCGCGATGGCCCACAGGGAAGCCCTGGCCAGGGCCATCACCTCCGTGAGTCAACTGGCCCGCACCGACCTCACGCTCCAACGCGACCTCCTCTGCGGCTATTTCACCATCCAGACCACCCTCCTTTCCACGTTCTTCGCCCTGAACCGCTCGCTCTTCCGAGCCATGTCCTGGAGCCAGTGGATCTTGTTCATCATCCACAAGATGGTGACCACCAACGCCCTCGCCTTCTACGCCCCGCTCTACGCACTGCACGCTCGCGTCCTAGCCAGGAGCCTCTTCGACCTCAAGTTGGATCTCGAGGGCTACCGAGTGAATTGCTTCCTCGCTCGTGCCCGTTACCGAGAGATTCGCGACGCTGTCCGGTCTCTCAACGAGGGCTTCGGCCTCGTGATCATCATGCTTCACGGCTACATCGCCTATACCCTCGTGGAGCAGCTTTACCTCATGGCCTCTCTCGCGGACAATTCCGAATCGATCAACATGGCGCCTAAGCTGGGGTCGGCCTTGACCAGCGCCTCGAGGATCGCGGTCGACATCGCCATCCTCCTCATCATCAACTGGCCTGCTCAGCGATTCCTCGATCGGGTGAGACGCGTCGCATCGATGCAGATTTTATGCAGTAAGTGATGAAAGTTGGCGTGCGGTTGAGGTACAGGAAATGCAAGAAAATCGAGGAATAAAATATTAAAACAGAGCCTGCCAGAAGAAACTTGAAGCAAAGAGGAGGAAACTCCCCACATAAATATTTCAAAGCAGCTAAATATAGAGGGAGGTCGGGCATATGAAAAACACACGAAGATGATGCTTCCCTCGCATTCGCACAGGACATGGAGCTGAGAGAACGTGTGACCGACATGGAGAGCTACGAAGACACTGGCACTCACAAGCGGGAATCCTCGGCCTGGACGTCAACCTTCAAGTTTCAGGTGCCACATGAAAAAAAAAAAAAAAATTCACCTTAACTGGAAACAAAACGTTGGGATTTCCCACAGACGAAAAGTGAACTAAAACGAAAAATCCAGATGTGTTCTGTCAAATTTATTTTTCGGAAAACGTTCGCCATGTCGTGCCGATACGTAGGTAGGCATTTAAATTTGTACAAGAATAATTTTTCCGTTAATGGACAATTTTTCAAGTTGGAAAGGATGTATTCTCAGGCTATGAAATCTCCAAACGTACATTTTCCTCGCGATCTTTTTTTCTTAGAGAGTGCAAGTTGTTGCAAAGTAAAGGTTGCGAAGTTTCATTCGAGTGGAAAAAAGAAGTCAAAATTCCCATAGGTCTCATGACGATGAAAATGAGGAAATCTTGCATTCCGGCATGGCACAGACACCGTGACGAATAATGATTGGAGGAAAACGTAGAACGACATTCCGATCGGGAGACGAAAGACGTTCACGCCCCAAACGCGAATTTCGTTTCAGAGCGGAGGCCTGGGCTCGATCGAGAAGAATCAGCAGATGGTGCTGACGGCAGCCGGCTACCTCAACCTGGGCAAGCGTCTCATCATGAAGGTATGCGAGAGGAGGCACTCGCGGAGCAGGCGAGCATCCACCGTTTTCGCTTCATTTTCTCTTCGATCATTTGCGAACGAAGAGTTTCCTTTCCCATCGCTCGACTCCTCGTAGTTATAACGAGAATACAGTAGAACGATATGAAAATGCTCGGGGAAAGCGCCCTTCTCGGTTTCATCGAACCGGCCCGTATTGATCCGATCTACTGGGAATCATCCGGGAGAAACTCCTCAAATGAGTTCTACTTGGATGTCCTCGTCCTGGTTAGTCGAGGCCGAGGAAAAATTGTCCTGTTCCCGGTACCGATTAATAACAACTTTTTGGGCATCACGATACCCGGAGTCAGTATTTAAAAAATTAGAAAAAAAACCTCAAATTCACTCCGTATCTTAAAGGGGTTTCATGGTCGCAAGACGCCAATGTGCGAAAATTCTCATTTTGCAGGCATTTGGCACGGTGGTGTCGTACACGGTCCTTCTGGTCCAGTTCCGTCAGGCCGAGATCGTCCGTGGAGCTGTTCAGCCCTGCAATCGCTGAAGGCCTCGCAACTGAGTGTGTTTCGCACTAGATGTCGCTAGTGAAGGGAATTTTGGGTTTAAATGCAAAAAATGTCATCGTTGTTCGGCCGCACAAACCGTTGTTGCATTTTTCACCATTTTTGGATGGTGTTCGTGTTGAAGGTTCCCGCGTGGAGTGAATCTCGCTGAAGAACCTCGATGTGGTAATAAAAAATGTGGTAAATAAAAGTATCTGGTGAAAAAAGTGAGTGATCTCATGGTTGCAGGCGACGCGGCGCTGACCCGTCCACAAAAATGCTGTATAAATGTATGCTGAACTAGCAGAAAAAAAAAACTTTATGGCCAGTTAACGGGCTTCCTGGACTGGCCATCGGTTAACTGGACACGGGCAGTCAACGTGAAGAGTTAAAAAAAAAAAAAAAAACAGACGAATCGATCGAGCGAAGGCGGAGATGAAGGCTAGGGTAAAGGTTCTTTCGTGTGCGTGGGCTCCTATGGGAGGGAAAGGGCTCGTTAGCATTGAAAATCCTTTTATTTCCCCTATTGAGGTTTGTGCATTTGGGCCTCATTCACCAGGGGGCATAAGCCGAAGTCGAGGGCCCCTTGCGCTGGGAAATATCGCTGCTGACGACGTCACATTCGTGCGGATGTTTCCACAGATTTCTGTGCCGAAATCATGGAAATCAATCCGTATTGTTTTTTTTTTTTTTTGAGCGGTGACGAGGTTCGTACTGGAACTTACTCGAATTTCGGACGAGGGAAAAAACGGTGGAGCAGGTGGCGTTTGAGCTGGAGCCGAGCGTCTTTTAGTTTCCGACGTCGAAGAGAGATGGCGCCTTGCCTCGTCGTTCCCTCTCGCTTCTCGTCGGACCGCCGGGCATCGAGGCAGTTCCCGAATTCCTCTCGCACCCGCCGACGAGAAGTTTCAGGTTCGATTGTACCTCGAGGTACGTAGGATTCAGCCAATAAAAGGAAAGTAAAATTTTCGGCGATTGTCTTCCATCGCGCCATTCGAGAACTTCACCCAGTCCTCACTAGATGTCTCTCCTGCTACTGAACCCCGCCTTTCAACTCTTGCTGAAGAAAAAATGAGAGGGCATTAATTAATTTTAACTAAGACGGTTAATTTCTCTCGTGAGGACGAGGACTGCAAAGTCAGCGATGACGTCACCAATAGTCACGAAGCGCGCGAGGATTTCTCCCGGCGAGAACGCATGCGCGAGAAGACCCACCAATCGGGAGCGACTTCCGAGTCACGTGACCTTCGGTGAGGAGGCTGCGCGGCTCCTCCCTTCGCGCTGATCGCTCTGACGCATGACCTTTACGTGCATCCTTTATGTATCCTTTGTGTATCCTTTACGGGTATCCTTTAAAGAATCGAATGTGTTCCGTTGAATTCTGCACGAAATTTCACGTGAGGTTCAGTTGCGAATTTCCATTGAAAAACGCCGTCTCGAAATAAGTGCGACCTCAGTCGCAGCGAGAAGAAACTTTCACTTTGGATCTTTTTTTGAATCTGTTTCACTTGAATATTATTTTGCGATATATCGTATAACTTGTCGGGGAATGAAAGCCTGAAAGAGGCAGATCGAAGGGTCGGCTGTAAATCCAGTTCGGCGGGAGAAAGGCAACTTTGATCATTGCCAGATTGCCAGATCCATTTTGCCACTGCAATTCGGATCTCTTGTCGTCTGAGACGCTCACGCCTTAATTTTTTACTAGATGTTTGTTTTTTTATTATTTATTATTTTTTTATTTTTACTTTTTATTATCGATGCTTTATTGTCCCGTTGCTCCACCGAGATTGACGTCACTAGGACACGAACAACAATAGTGAAAAAGCACACCAATAGTACTTGCGTCCAGCGGCGACTCAAAGTCCCACTAGCGACATCTATTGCGGAATCCACGAACTCGCCGGACCTTGAGGGACCCTCAAGGGCCGTCTGACCGGATCGCACCGCTCACGATCTCGGCCTGGCGGAACTGAACCAGCAGGACCGCGTACGACACCACCAAGCCCAAAACCTGCAAATTTTAAATTCATTTCAAACTTCAAACATTTAGACAACGTTGAAATTTACATTTACGGGAAGCAGCTTCATTTTCACGCTGACTTCAGCCGTCGGTAAGCCAAGTAAAAATTAAAAAAAAAGATTATATTTCCTTCTTACAGTATACTCTATTGCCCTGCCATTGCGAAACAGGTCTAAAAGCTTCCAAAACCAAACGGTGGCGCTATGAATAAAAAATCTACCGAAATTTTTCAATTGACACACGCTAAAAAGCCGGATTTTACTCCCATTCTTCGCCTCGAAGTGCACGAGATGCATGCCTTCATATACGCATTATTTTTTATGAAAAAAAAATACTTGTAAACAATGAGTCGCTTGACGATGGAATCGGCATATCGACAAATGCGGAAACAAAATCGAACAAATCAAACTTACGCTATAAAATACCAAAACTGAAAAACGAAACAAAAGTGAGCATGGAGGAATCAGGCGACGTCGGTGGAGCGGATGCTCGCCTGCCTCGCGAGTGCCTCCTTCCCCCCCCCCCCCCTGCACCCTGCAGAATCCTGCAACCCCCCCTTCTACCTTCATGATGAGATGCTTGCCCAGGTCGAGGTAGCCCGCTCCGGTGAGCACCATGCTGTGACTCTTCTCGATCGAGCCCAGGTCTCCCCAGCCGCCGGTTTCTCTGTTGCTGTTCGTGTCCGCCAGGTATTCCCTCAGTTCCTTGTCCTGTGTATGAGGCCCCCGTAAACTTCATCCTTATTTTTTGGGGCCATATTTAATTTTTTGCATCGAACATGATTTTACAATTAAACATTTCATTCCTTCAAATCTCTTCTTGCTCTATTTGGAGACCTCAGCCCCTCTTATATTTCCTTACCTTTTCCACCAAATTTTTTTTAAATCATGAAACGTTTCCATGAATTCTGACTAAGGCAAGAAAAACAAAAAATTGCATATTATATTCTTGAGAAATATTTTATATATCTTTTGATGCTCTTATTGCCATATGATTCCCGCGGCAGTAGCTGAATTTGGTAATGTGGATGCTACGTAGGTGTTCTTCTAAAGCTAGGCAGTGATTATCATGTGCGACACGGCATAGAAAATGGAAAGGCCAAATTCATTGCGATTCGTACTCTCCGCTCTCAATTCTCGTTTCGTCAATTCGGACGCGCGATCCGCATCGATGCGACGCGTCTCACCCGATCGAGGAATTGTTGAGCGGGCCAGTTGATGATGAGGAGGATGGCGACGTCGACCCCGATCCTCGAGGCGCCGGTGAAGGCCGACCCGATCTTAATTGCCAGTTCGACAGACTCTGCAGTGTCCTGGAGGGATGTCATGAGGTAAAGCTGCTCCACGAGGGTGTAGGCGATGTAGCCGTGAAGCATGACGACCACGAGGCCGAAGCCCTCGTTGAGAGACCGGACAGCGTCGCGAATCTCTCGAAAACGGGAGCGGGCATGCGAGGAATCCACCCGAAACTCCTCGAGATCCAACTTGAGGTCGCGGAGGCTCATAGCTAGGACGCGAGCGTGCAGTGCGTAGAGCGGGGCGTAGAAAGCGAGAGCGTTGGTGGTCACCGTCTTGTGGATGAGGAAAAACATCCACTGGCACACGGACATGATGGGGAACTGGGCGCGATTCAGGGCGAAGAACGTGGAAAGGAGGATGGCCTGAATGACGACGTAGCCGCAAAGGAGGTCGCGTTGGAACTTGACGTCGGGACGGGCCAAACGACAGACGGAGGTGATGGTCCTGGCCAGGATTTTCCTACGGGCCATCGCGCTCGCGATCACCGTCAGGTAGAACAGCCGTTGGGCGGCGCGTTGGATCGCGATGATCTCGGCCGAAATGCCAGAACCTTGCGCTTCTAGGTCGTCTGTTTGAGCTTGCTTGCCTTGAGACAATTCTGGCATCGGAAGAAAGAAAACCGTCCCGTGGATAGCCCATTGGAACAGATGTGGACCTTATTTTTTTTTGAATATCTATTGATATCGAATATCGAAAGAGCCTCACTCAATTTCTCTGAACGCCTTAAAAGCAGTAAATAAAAATAAGTAGGAAGGGATGAAGCACTCTGTTGACTGCCTCTCTTCAGATCATATCATATTATGTCATGATCGTACATACAATTAGCGCAATAATTAGTCGAATTATGGCACAATTTAATAAATGCACAGCATTCGTGGTAGAATGTCATAAATGAATGAATAACATTTGTCAATCTGTTGTCTTCGCTTCATAATGCAAAAAAAACCTGACAAGAAGCAACCTGCTGATTGCTTGTCCACCTTAATTTTCGGTACTTCAGTTTTGAAAATATATTTCCTGATTAACGGATTTTGTATTATTTTCTCTTTTGTGGCATCCCATTGCGATCTGCAGCACTGCAGCGAGAACGCTCTCCCTCCCCTCCCCCTCTTCCCCCCCCTTGCCATGTTAATCAGAACTTCTGAAGGCAAAACTGAGTCCTTACTTTGCCTCGATTTCAATGACTTACTTTTCTTGTGGCCAAATTGAATCGCCTCGCAACTATTCCTGTCATCCAACTTTAACAACAATATTGTGTGGAATGGGTGGGTCGCTTGTTTCTTCAGATGAATATTGACGGTTTTAGAGAGGCTTCGTCTAGTTTTTCCTCAGCAGGAGTCTAAAGAATATCTGAGCTGAATACGGAGTCCTCTCATGTATTTCATACCTTTCTCAACATTGTGGGCAATGAATCTCATCATACCTGCAGTCTTCATACTCTTCTGAAGACCTTCTTATAAGGTCCTGAGTGACGTTACCCTTTTCGCATGAAAAAAATTAACGATAATTCCATGCAATTCATGACTCAACACGGCGACGCATCCAATCGGGGCGAGACAACGACGCTCCTCTCACGAAAATATTATATCGTTTATATCATGAATTTGTGCCCACCATGTAAAACCAGATCTCATGATCGTAAGATCTATGAAGTTGTACCGTTGCACGAAGGCTTGTTTCGGGGTAAATCCCCAATATATCTGAATAATTTATTAAATGTATTATATGTATGCGACAGACCGAAGAAGAAGATGACAGCGTCGACAGCATAGAGAGCGAAGAGGACAAGAGTCCAGAGGAGCGCGAAAGAGCACCAGGAGAAGGCGACGGTGACGCCGGGACCCGTGACGGAGAAGGGGAATGAGCCCAGGAAGGTACCCAGACCCAGCGTCACCTTCAGACATCTGAAGGAACCCTCCTTTCTCCCCCTCTCCTCGTTCATCTCCTTCATCTTGCTCTCTTCCCGGTACGGCTCAACAGTCATCTCCGCGCACTGCGTCGGGCAACGACCCTCCCAGCCTGAGTTTCAGAAGTGAGTCCCAGAGCATTCCCCGGCCCCACTGACCCCCCCCCCCTCCCCCCCCCCCGTGAAATCAATACTGCCGCCAAATTGATGTTAAAGTATGCAAGCGTGAGGAGCTGATTGCGGGAATCCACGTGGCAACAGGTACCATCCCCCATCCCCTGTTTAGTTCCTACTTATCCTCTCTTTCCGCTTGGTGGGGTCCACTTTTCAAATTTCCAGGATCCTAATAGACCATTAGAGCCTCAATAGAGACTGTAATGGGCGAATTTCTGTTTCCTACTTTGGCGAATCATGGCCTCGGCATGGAAGGTCAACGTCCTATGTACACTCATTACCAAAAAAAAAAAGCAGCACTAAAAAGTTGAGCAACCTTGATGGAATTCGGCACACAAACATGTTTCAGTGGGTCACAAAATCGATTCGAGTTTCACTCATAAAAGTTGCCAAATGTTTAAACTCAAATTAGGACGGGAGAGTCGTATTAATCTCCCAAAACAAATTTTCAGGAGTTTGGAACGTGGAACGGAAACTCGTTAAGATGTGTGACAAAATCGAGCAATGTTTCAAGGTCGCGGGATGAGCCAGTGCAGAGAAAACTCGCGGAGGAACGGAGGAGGACAAAGACCGAATTGCTGGGGCGTTTCATCGACGTAGGGCGATTGGTATGCGTGCATCAACATGATGCGTGCATCAACTTGATGCATGGATCAACTTGATGCATGGATCAACTTGATGCGTGCAAGCCAAGCCTTCCGGTCCGGAAAACCCTGAAAAAGGTGATTCGTATAGAAGCCATGTTTTCTTATGTAGAATTCAGGATTTCCGGGACTCAGAAAAGCTAGCCAATACTTTTTGAATGATTTAGATTCGTCAGAAACTTATTTATGACGAGCCCATGCGGACATTTCCGTTTTCCATTTTATCGTGTTATGATTCTTTTTTATATAAAGCAATCATTTATATCTTCCACCAGATCAAGATTCAAAGTGTTACTCGTTTGATAATTCGTTCATGTCCCAGGTACCGCAGAAATTTTCGCTAAAAAAATCGCAAGCAAAAAGAGTTGATGTTGATTGCAGTTTCAGCTAATTTGTTTTCTTGTTTCCGCTGCCAGGAATCGCACAAAAGCGACCGATTCTGCGGCATATGTGCGAGTTCGAAAAATCTCATCGAGTTGGACCATAGCAAAGCCGGTTGGAGAAATGAGATGAAATATATTCCAAGCGGAAGGTGCTGGGTACAAATCACCTGGGAACAAGGCAAAGGGAACAAAAATGACCGCTAGAATTAAGGGAACGCCGTCCCCACTTCCTTTCGTCTCTGATCCAGAGTTGCCCCATATGCCCCACCTTATGCCCCACCCCGTGCCCGGAGAGCACGGGGTGGGGCATAAGTTAGCTGGCCAGAGAGGCACAAGCATAATAGAGAGGCATCATACGTTATCAACATTTTTATCACCGGACGTAATACAATTTTGATACTTTTTATTTTTTTAATTTATATTTTATTACATGTTGATACAAATTTTCAAAGTATCATTGTTTTGATAAAACCAACAAATGAAAAGTATAAAAAATTTTGCATTGCTAAATGACATTGACGCATTTGGAAGTGTCCAAACTACCGTCTGTCTTGATTTATGGTTTCTTTCTCGAGTTGCACGTGCGGGGCAAGCAATCTCTGCCTCACCCTGTATTTTACGAGTATCGTTATTCCACCCGGCATCTCCGCGATTGGGCACTCCAACGCAGAAGAGATGCTTCGAGTGAACAATCTTGGGGAAAGGCGAGTGCTGAAACTCGTTTTCCTCCCCATTTACTCATTTTCCTGCTTTGTTTTTTTTTACCCCGGAGAAAGAAAGAAGAGGAAATCGGAGTAATTTTCCTCTCGTTTCTCACTTCTCAAAGAGGGAGACCGGTGCTAGATCACTTTTTTTGCTTATTTAAATAAGTGTCGGTCAACCACCGATGAACCTGGAGCCTAATGTGAGAAGCACCACTACCCGCTCCTCTCTGAGTCGCTTCTGACCTCAGCAGCTAAAAAAAATAAAAAATAAAAAAAATAAAATAAACAAGAAGCAATTCCAATGACAGTGTGCTCCTCCCGCATGAAAGTGGAGAGTGGAACGCGTCCTTTCCGAGCCCCGACGAGCCCTTCGCCTTCTTCCCCTCCAGATATGGGGGATGTCGAGAGACCAGCTCGCAGCAGGATGTCAGATTCTCAGATTTCAAGAAGGAACCTCCTTTTGGTGGAGGACGGAGGAAGAGCGCGTCGCTTCCCCGGCGGTGAATCGGACGCCGAATCCCACGACGACGGTGAAGCCCTCGCCCAATCCGAGTCTGGCATGCGGTAACGGTACGTGAAGGGTTATTTTCGCATATATTTCATTTCTCTTTGAAAATAATTTCTTGCTTGAAGCAAATTTTGGGGAAGGAGGGGAAGGGGGGGGGGGCAGACGATGGCGGGGGGTCTCGCATGCCCAATATGTTTCTCTTGGAATTTTCGTGTCGTGACTGGGTGGTATTTAAATTAACTTCCCGGGGGGTGAAGCCCCCTGGAAAGCACAAGGAATTTTCAGGGAACATTTTTTCTGTTGATGTGACTGTAGTCAGGCATTACCATGTGAAGGTCGATTCTGTTTTGCTGATGTAATGCTTGGAACGTTTCCTCATTTTCTGATTAATCATCACCTTTTCCGTTCGAGCCAGTCGAGTGCGAGAAGACATCTCGGACGAGACCAGTCGTTCTCGATAACCGGTTTTTTTTTTTTCCTTGCTCGAGGGTGAAAGGATTCTTCCGAGAATCCAGCTGACGACGCGAAGACTGCGGGGATCACGACGCGAGCACGTGGGTCGTGATCCCCGCTTGCTTGCGATCTTCGTTCGTGGTAGTGATGCGTGTGTGCTTCGTTCCAATGCTTCGTTCCCATGCTTCGTTCCAATGCTTCGTTCCTGTGCGTCTCCGCGGAACATTCCCATCGGCTCGTCCGATTTTGGTGCTGCGTGTGTTGAATGCCTCTCGCTCGAGCCGATTTTCGGAATCGGGAGAAATTTCGGTCTGTTACGTCGACACCGAGGGCAGGATATTGTAACTTAACCCTTATACGCTCAGCGCGCCTATCCATCGGCTCCGTCTAAATCATGCTCTTTTAGTTACATAAATGGCTCAAAATGCTTCCCTAAATACAGGTGCTCACTGCAAAAGATACGTATGTGATGTAGTTCCGGACCAGAGAGTGTTTTAGGCCAGGTACTTGGAAAATAGGCTGAGTGCGAAAGGGTTAAGAGCCTTTGAAATATCCTATTTCTGTCTGGTTTTCGGTTAGATGCTCGCGATTCCTCGTCTGAATTTATCCTACGTCAAAGCGAAACGATTGATGTGGCTTTCAAGATCGCCCCGAGGAGTCGACACTGGCTTAGACGTTAGCGAAGCAGATGTAGGCAATAGCCGCCGAGGAACGAGGCGAAGTTCCTTCATTTCCATTAATGGAAGTGGGGAAAAATATTACGGGGGGGAAAAATATCATACGACACCGGCACCCACGAGACGATTTCATCGGGAGGATAATTTTCCCTCGAATGAATCAACACCTTCGCCTAAAATGCCATCTCCACCCAGTTTCATTGCGAGAACGAGACGACGACAGGAAATCGTTTCGCAGGCGAATCCTCTCACCGCGCGGGACACGTCCGAGCGCCATCGCACCTCCCGCTGGAATGAATCCAAAGCGTCTCTTCCTGGTCTCTCGCTTCCGACCGGTCGCGTTCGTCTCGGCTTGTGTTGAAGAATTCGTAGATTTCGGGGGGGATGGGGCTTTTCGCGGCTGCAGGTGGTCACAATTCAATGCGTGGTGATGTTGAGATCCGTCTGCTTGGGGTTGCATCCCTGCAGGTTGGGAAACGATGAAAATGAACGAAGCCTTCCTGAGCTGCTGACGAGCGGACGATGTCACTGACGTCACAGGAGGGACGGGCTTGTCCCTCCATGCTACTTTCACGTGGACATAGGCCTAACAATTTACGGAACGCGACCTATGTTCTGTCTTGCAGGAAGAACACCTGCGTGGTAGATGAAGCGAATAAGATGGATTGAAAAAATGATTCGATGAATAGATGTTGGACCAGTAGGTTTGAGCAATAGGTGACCCATCCCTGTATGCTAATTTAGGCGAATTACCGCCGATGCCTTTGGTCAAAGTCATGGCCGCAATCTAATGCGTAATGCTATTCGAGCTTGGAGTGAAGCATTCGTTTATAGACCAACCGGTGCTAGTGATGTTAATCCTGGAACCCGTTTCATGTTTCAATATTAGGTTTAGCATATGCAAAGCCATCTCAAGTAACTGAAATAGAGCATTAGTGTAAAGGAGTTGAGCACAGATTACATAATGAGCAAGGTCATGCCATTGAATTCTGGCTGTTAACTTATGCATAACTGCTATTCCATATCTGACCAGACTTAACTGCCTAAGCCATGAAGAAGAAAAGCTTTCCTTCTCACTGTAATGGAACAGATCTCAGGTGTGTATAGATGCTGTTATATATGAAATGCCTCATGTATTAAGGGAAGGGGTCAACAAGTATGTGCAATGCAAGGGGGGAGGGTAGTTAAAAAATGCTCAAGTGTGGCATGTTTGTACATAACCTAAATCTATGATTCTCATGGGCTTCAATGTGTAAATGTTTAACTTCTTAAATGTACCTTATGCTGGGACTTCATGTTTCAGATCCTGATTTGGTGAAATAGTTTTACTATTCCTTGTCAGATTCCGTGACTGGGAAAATGAAAAAAATGATTTCTTCCATACTTCGGGAGAGGATCATGGTGATTGATGGTGCCATGGGCACCATGGTGCAGGGTCATCGACTCGAGGAGCAGGATTTCCGAGGAAGACTCCTCGCCGAACATCCCAAGCCTCTCAAGGGAAACAATGACATCTTGGTTCTCACTCAGCCTGATATCATTTATCAGATTCATAAGGTGTGGGGCTTTTGAATATTGGCTTATGTAGCTGGATTTTGTTGTTGGATGTGTATTTTTTTAATACTCTTCCTGATCGTTCCAGGACTACTTGGAAGCAGGAGCCGACATCATCGAGACGAACACATTCAGCGGGACGAGGGTCGCTCAAGCCGATTACGGGACGGAACACTTGGTCTACAGGATAAATTTGGAGGCTGCAAAAATTGCAAGGAAGGCAGCAGACGATGTGGCGAGAGAGACCGGCATCCCTCGTTTCGTCGCCGGAGCCATGGGTCCGACAAACAAGACCTTATCCATTTCTCCATCAGTGGAGAGGCCTGACTTTCGGAACATCAGTGGGCAAAACATTTTTTAACTGACTGGTTTCAAGTAGCCCATGGTTTTCACATCAAATTGATTTGGTAGCATTCGACGAACTGGCTGATGCCTATGCCGAACAAGCCCGAGGCCTGCTGGATGGAGGAGTGCATGTTCTCACCGTTGAAACGGTTTTCGACACAGCCAATGCAAAAGCAGCTCTGTTTGCTCTTCAGACACTGTTTGAGGGAGAGTATGATCCAGTCCCTATTTTTGTAAGATTGTTTTTGAGAATCCTATCCAATCCATTCCAGGTTTCACATTCATTAATATTTCAGCTGCATCTGATGAGATCGTTTGATTTTCTCCCCAAAGGTATCGGGTACGATCGTCGACAAGAGCGGTCGGACTTTATCGGGACAGACTCCCGAAGCTTTTGTGGTATCAGTGTCCCATGCAGATCCCCTTTGGTGTGTGATACTTGTTCCCAGTCAGAATTATTCTCCACTTCTGCTTTAGCCAAAATGAGGATTAGAGAAGTAGGCCTACTCTCTTTCATCAACTGCTTTAATTACTGTTCTTTTTTGACCGACAGCATAGGGTTGAATTGTGCACTTGGAGCAAATGAAATGCGGCCCTTCATCGAAGCCGTCGGGATGTCCACAATGGCATATGTCATCTGCTACCCAAATGCAGGTTTGATCTGGTGCCCATTTAAGTAGGATTGTAATTGTGGTTTATTTTTTATGGATTGGTGGTTTCACCCAAAATAACAGGTCTTCCGAACACCTTTGGGCAGTATGATGAAACTCCTGCGATAATGGCCAAGGCACTGCGGAGGTTTGCTCTGGATGGGCTTGTTAACATCGTTGGAGGATGCTGTGGTACCACTCCAGACCATATCAGGTTGGAATTTTTAGCTTTTCCATTGTCAGTACTTGATTGTCCCTGTATAGTCATGATTTTGGAGGATGCAGTAATTATTAAAAGCATCAGGAGTGGATACCTTGATTGACAAAAACCACTCTTGCTAGAAAATGTGCTTGATTTGCTTGGTTCTGTCATTATGGAAAAATCTGCTAGGATTTTCACTTACTCAAGTTTCACCTATTCAAATTATTTCTGCTGTTTTGAATGAAGTTCAAGAGGGATAATAAATTTAAAAAAACTGGGTTTTAAGGTTCTCCCAAAATTCTCACAACTACTTCATGCCATGAACAATTTCCATCCAGTGCAAGGCACAGTTATTTGATGCAGCCATGCCAGAGTAGAGAAGTGAACCTGCTGCTCTAAAATTTTTTATCAAATCAGTGAACCAAGATGAACGTATCTACTCTCGTCCAGAATCAGTTCACAATGGAGTTTTTGCTGCTAAGAGTGGTATATGTAGAGGAAGGATAAAATGTAAGATGGCATCAGAAGTAGGGACTCTTGATGCAAGTATAAGCATAAGTCTTTTCAGCAGGAATGCAGATATTACCTGCAAATATGTACCACATGTCTGTTGTGGCAGTAGTGAGAAATGAAGTCTCACAAGGACCTCTGAGCTAAGGGCCTGTTGATGTGAGAGATTGTTCTTGTGTCTGCTTCTAATGGAGGTGTGGAAAGGAGAAGCAGTGAATAAATGTGAAGAAGGCCATGATGAGATGTTACCTGAATTTCTGTTGTGATGGGATGATGCAATGGCATGGAAAGTTTGCAAACAGGAGAGGATGATGAGTTGAGTGGAACAGTGAGAGCCTTATACTGGAATGAAAGATAAAAGCAGTATTGACATGAGGCAATGACTGAAGAAATAAGAGCGGATAAGAGGGATGTCCAAGTAGACGGCAGGCCAATTGCATACAGGACTCATGGGTTGGGTTAGGGACAAGGTCATCAGATGGACAGTGGAGACTTAGTGGGATGATGTAATGTTACTCCTCATTCTTAGGGATTTGTGCAATCTTTCAACGGAATGTGTAAGAAGAAGAATTTAGTTTGACAGACATATTGACATCAGAGTATGTAATCTTAACTTTCTGAGATGTCAGAGCTAAAATCTAACTTTCCCATGGTTATACTTTAACATAGACCATGTATCCCCTGAAGTGTTTCTTGAATTTTCCTCTGCTACTGATGACCAGCTTACTTGTGAACTGGGTCCATGCTTGGTTCATGCATTGAGGAAGTAAGCCTTAGGAGAGGGACACTGGGCAATTGGATGTGATAGAAGTAATGGGGAGAATGATATGATGGAATTGCAGATGAGTAGCTCTGTTGATAGTGAGCTTGGCTCCTGTGACAGTGGATTCAGTTTCAAATTCACTCAAGTCATGTATTTGGGTCCAAGTGCAAGCCCCTGCATGCATGGAAAGGGAATGTTATTCATTGAGTAACCACTCACACCAATTTCAACATCTCAAGGTTATGTTTACTCAATCTTAGATGTATAAGTGAACCCTGATGAATACATGGTTTCAGTGTCTGTCATCAGCTCCCTGTTCTGGAGAGTGCCCTGTCTTTTCCCACCACCCCTCCCTTTACCTGTACTACATATAATCTATGAATATGTATCTCAAACGTTTATCATCCCAACTGGCAGCTGTGGAAGGATGCCATGCAATATTGCATATCCTTCCTAGGGGCTCCTAAAACCATAATTTGGCCATGCTGACCCTATTGCAACTTGTGCAGCCTTAAATAGAACACACCATTTTTAATTAACTTTGCATATTAGGAACATTTCCAATGTAGGTGTCTTGGTGGCAGTGCATTTGCAGGCTTGTTGTGCATTTTAATGAAAGGATGATTCGAGAAGCAGTGGCAGATTGTGAACCCAGGATCCCTCCTGAAGATCTTTTCTCACACCATCTTCTCCTATCTGGACTGGAAGCCGTGCGCATCGGAAAGGAGACGAACTTTGTCAACATCGGAGAGAGATGCAATGTTGCTGGCTCGGCCCAATTCTGCAAGCTCATAAAAGCAAATGATTACGAGGTGTGTAGCCTTCTAAACTTAAGTTTTTACTGAACCTTCTTGTATGGAAATCTTTCATGGTGAAATCATTTCAGGAAGCATTGCATGTAGCCAAAGCACAGGTTGAGAATGGAGCTCAGATCCTGGACATCAACATGGACGATGGGATGATCAATGGCAAAGCTGCCATGACTCGCTTCCTGAACCTCATTGCAACAGAACCTGATGTGTCCAAGGTAAGAGTGATACCCATTTTAGCAGGCAATTTTTTATTGCATAGTGGCACTACCTATAAACATATCTGGATTTTATTCCCTCTTTAGGTCCCATTGTGTGTGGATTCATCCAACTTTGAAGTTATTGAAGCAGGTCTGAAGGTGACTCAGGGGAAATGCATTGTGAATTCCATCTCGTTAAAGGAGGGTGAAAAAATGTTCTTGGAACTGGCCCGGAAGATAAAGAAATATGGAGCAGCTGTTGTAGTTATGGCATTTGATGAAAAGGGACAGGTAGGGAAAATCTTACTTGCTTCTACACCATGAGGAGAACTGCTTCTATATATCACTGTGGAATTTTGGCAGGCTGCAGAGAGAGACCAGAAGGTAGAGATCTGCAAGCGTTCCTACAAACTTTTGGTCGAGGAAGTGGGCTTTAATCCAAATGATATCATCTTTGATCCCAACATTCTCACCATAGCCACTGGCATGGAGGAGCACAATACCTATGGCATGGACTTTATCCAGGCTACAAGCATCATCAAGGCAGGTTTTAAAATTGCTTCTTCAAGTTTGCACTGGTTACATTTTAATCACTGCTTGCACATTTTTTTAAAAGAGTTTTTGGCTACTTATTCATCTTGATTTGCTGTTGTAACCCATAGGAAAGTTGTCCTGGTTGCTGGGTGAGTGGAGGCGTGAGCAACGTCTCCTTCTCGTTCCGAGGAATGAACGTCATACGAGAGGCCATGCACTCTGTCTTCCTCTATCATGCCATCAAGGTACAGAATGCTTCCTGTCATTGCAGGCTCCTTTGATTTCTTCTCTTCACATCAGATGCTTTGCTCTTCATGATTATTTGTTTGAATTTTCAGGCAGGGATGGATATGGGAATTGTGAATGCAGGGAGTCTACCTGTCTATGTTGACATTGAGCCTAACCTTCTCCAACTGTGTGAAGATCTACTTTGGAACAGACATGCTTCTGCCACTGAGCGCCTCCTCGAGTATGCCCAGCGCGTGAAGACTCAAGGGAAAACGGCTGCAGTGGAACATGACTGGAGAAATGCACCTGTTGAGGAGAGGCTTGAGTATTCCCTCATCAAGGTATAGATACCTTATTGCAAAGAACAATGAAAAGGATGTGTTCTTCTACATGGAGGCACTGTCTGGCTCCTAGGGTATTGACAAGTATGTCGAGCAGGACACAGAAGAGGCTCGGCAGCAAGTGGACAAATACCCCCGACCACTGAATGTGATCGAGGGGCCCTTGATGAAAGGAATGTCCATCGTGGGTGACTTATTTGGAGCCGGGAAGATGTTCCTACCACAGGTGATCAAGTCGGCACGTGTGATGAAGAAAGCTGTCAATCACCTCATTCCATTCATGGAGAAAGAGAAGGAGAAAAATCGGACCCAAAACATTCAGATGGTGTGTTCTACTATTCTTCCATACTTCTTTTCCTGTTTTGGTTTGCTTTACATGTGACTCTATGCTCTGATCAGTCTTCACATGCAGGGACAGTGGTGTTGGCAACAGTGAAAGGAGATGTCCATGATATTGGGAAAAACATAGTAGCTGTGGTCCTTGGCTGCAATAATTTCAGAGTGATTGATCTGGGTGTAATGTGCCCTAGTGAAAAAATCATCTCAACAGCAATAGAGGAGAATGCAGGTAAGCCTCATCATCTTCCTTTATGATATATTTGAAGCTCTTGGTCTGAGCTATGTAACAAAGTGCGGAACCCCTCTTTTTTTATGTTCAGAATGTTATGATTCTATTATTTCTGGCAAATTTGTTCCATTGTGTTATGTTGCAAAGCCTTTTTCACATTAATGTAATCTCAAATGAAATGTTTTTTCCAGTAATATTGTAAAGTACAGTAAAGACTTAATATTAATATGCCTGCAAAAACGATGAAGCATAGTGTTGTCAAGTGTGAATATACATAATTCATCATCAACATTGGGGCAATCATGTAGCTTCAGGGGAACATAAGCTGCAGTTATTGGGAATTTTTATGAATATTTGTACCTATTCCACTGAAACCATATGCTTAGAATTACAAACTTTCCAAAAATGTTTCCTTATCCATCTGTTTTATCATCCAGGAGTGCTGGTTCTGGTTCTGAAAACATAAATATGACAAGTAGTGTAATAAGTATCATTTGGCTTATGAGGTCATTCCTATTTAGCTAGGTACTTTCACCACCTTAATATGCCGGCTTCTCTTTAAATTTTATTGTTATGGTATTGGAACTGTTTCTCTCAAAAGAATCAGTACATTTCTTGTCACCACTGAAGTTGCATTGTGTTACACAGCCCTGTTTGCAATACAAGGTATGATAATTAACCCTGTTGATACCTTAGACATCGTTGGATTGTCGGGTCTGATCACGCCATCTCTGGACGAGATGATCCATGTGGCCAAAGAGATGCAACGCATGAAGCTTCAGATCCCTCTTCTGATCGGAGGAGCCACCACATCCAAGAAGCACACTGCTGTTAAGATTGTTCCAAAATATGACAGTCCTACGATCCATGTCCTCGACGCATCAAAAAGTGTTGTAGTGGTATGTTTTCTGTGCTCTCACAAATATTAATATTTGCTATTTGGGTGCATTGCCATTAGAACTAGCTGGCTGGCTGTTGGTATAAAAGATTGGAATGTTAGGAAGCAGTCATCATAAGCATGCTCAGTGGATACAATGAATTTTTTGCAGTGTTCCTCGCTGTTGGACCAGAACGTCAGAGACGACTTTGTGGAGGAGATAGCCGAGCAATATGAAGAGATTCGAGAGGACCATTATGCAACCCTTGAGGAGAAAGTCTACTTGCCCATTGAAAAGGCCAGGCTGCATCACTTCCACTTCAACTGGCATGAGTTTCCTCCTTCTTGTGAGTCACTCTCTATTTTCCAATAGATTGAGTCTGTGGATTTTGCAGAGTCAGTTCATACAGCACATTCAATTTTCCTTCAGGCACTCCAAGTTTCCTGGGAACAAGGACATTTCTAAAATATGATCTTACAAAACTCATTCCATACATTGATTGGAAGCCATTTTTTGATGTGTGGCAGCTGAGAGGAACATACCCAAATCGAGGCTATCCCAAGATCTTTCAAGACAAATCAGTTGGCAAGTGGACCTTGTGTTTTTTTGTTGACCTCTGCTCCTTGTAATCCAATGCAGCTATTTTAAATGCTGTCTCATCTCTGTAACCAATAGGCGAGGAAGCCAAAAGCGTATTTGAAGATGCACAAAAAATATTGGGTATGATCGTCAAAGAAGGCCTGCTGGAGGCACGGGGAATCGTCAGTTTCTATCCGGCAAATGCCGTGGGTGATGACATTCATGTGTATGGTGAGGACGTCTTGCCCCGCCCTCCCCCTGTTGCCGTCTTCCATGGCCTTCGCCAACAGGTTCAAAGTCCACTGCATATTTCAAGTGACATTTTACATCTGACCTTGCATGAAAGAAGAACTCCTTCCTGTTTCCTTTTTCTGCTTTTACAGATGGAAAGGGAATCTATGGATGAATCATACTCTTGCATCTCTGACTTCATTGCACCTCTGGAGTCAGGAATGAGAGATCACATTGGCATGTTTGCCATATCAGTGGGTTTTGGCTGCAATGACCTCTGTGCCTCGTAAGTCACCATCGTGTCATCTTTGCACAGTAATAATGCATTATGCCATGCAGTGGCTTATGATATCCTGCTTCATTTCCACAGATTCCAGTCCAAATTTGATGACTACAATGTGATAATGGTGAAGGCACTGGCAGATCGGCTGGCCGAAGCATTTGCCGAGGAGTTGCACGAGCGAGTGAGGAAGGAACTTTGGGGCTATGCTCCTGTTGAACTTCTCCAGGCATCTGATCTCCATCGCCTCAAGTATCAGGTATAATATCCTCTTGAACTCATGCCCAAAATTTCTGGTGTGGAGAGATAGGCAGGAATACTCAACAGTGGTTCCCATTCGTGCAGGGGATTCGACCGGCCCCAGGCTACCCTAGCCAGCCGGATCACACGGAGAAGCTGACCATGTGGAATCTCATGAACGTGGCAGAGGAGACAGGAATCCATCTCACCGAGTCTCTTGCCATGGACCCGGCGGCTTCCGTGTCGGGACTTTACTTTGCGCATCCCAAGGCATTCTACTTTGCCACCGGGAAGATAGCTCTGGATCAGGTCAGTTCTGATCTCAGATCATTCTTAGATTTCCCTTATGAAAGTCATAGTGACTACAGGCATGTATCAATGTAGGTTGAGGATTATGCCAAGAGGAAGGGGATGAGTGTGAAGGAAGTGGAGCAGTGGCTGAGTGTCAACCTGGCTTACGATCCTGCAGATGAGTAATGGTGGCTTCAGATTATTCATGGTTTGATAGGAGTGCAGCATCTTCCCATAGTTCAGTCCCATCATACCTTTTCTTTTATCAACATTTGTCTACTGGAATCACCAGAAGGAAACCAACTGTGATGGGATCGTGCAAATACTCGACAATGATGGACATAACCTATTTTTCGATTTGTTGCTTTTAAAGATGACTTATTCCATTATGAGCCTGCAAATATATTCTTGAAGAAATAAAGGGGCTACTTTTGCAGTGCAATACAATATATGAATTGGCAAGTTCTAGTTCTTTTACCTGCATGAGCATCATGCATGTCCAGCCTGAAGTTACTCAATAGCATATATCAAGAGATACCCTTGGGCGTCTCCTTCCTCTTGCTAAAAGGAAAGTGGTCTTTATGATTATTCAGTCATTCAGTCACATATAGGAATGTAGTTCATTAACCTCTGACAGCTTTTCTGCTTATTTACCTCTCCTACAATTATAAACTAAATTCCAACTTTCTCCATCCCTGTTATGATTAGCTCAACCCTTCTATCCACCAACAGTGTTGAAGCAGGTCACTCAATCTCACCCAAGTTTATGCAGGCGACGTTAAGTCATAACTGGTGACATTACCTTTTCATATAGGGATCTTCGACAGTGTGCATAAAGGGTGGTTATTGTTCCATGGAGCTGTAGATTTCCCCATCCCTCTCCCCCCTCTTTTCAATCCCCCTTCTCCTTGGTGCTGCCCTGCTGATTCCATGACTGTTAGCAGGTGATCATCTCAAATTACAGAAAATTATTATTATAAGTTCTGTTACTTGCCTCCAATTGCACCTGCTCCTTCAGAATAGGCGTCCGGATGGTCATTCCTCTGCAAATTACCTTCTGCTTTTAAGCATATTTTGGATCGTGATGTATCAGAGCATGACCGACAAGTGCACCTTTGTATGTCCAACATTTCCCCGAAATGAGACTCAAAAGGCTCTCCACGCGAGGTCTATCAGTGTGAAACGACTCACCGCTTCCCCTGCATTCTACCATTACCGGTCGGTGGAAGAAGCAGGAAGAGATATTGAAGCGGAAGGGCCATATCCACCTGGGAGACCACGAACGGGAAACGTTCACCTCGACCTGTGGTTGGGCACGCTCTCCTGTCGGAGCTTCAGAGATCGCCCTGCTCACGCTTATCTCCAAAGTCGACGCCATGAGGAATGGGGAGGATAATGCGTGAGGCGGGAAGATAGCTCCCATTAGATTGAGGAATTCTCAGGTTTGTGTCGACTGCACTCCATTCGTGTCCATCTCCTCTGCTGTTCTATACGACTTCATGTCGTTTCATCCTCGTTTCGACATTGTGACCTGCTTTGCCCATTTCCACTCTATTCTGATTTCATCTATCGTCCAACTGTTTTGTCCTTGGTACTGGACTGTTCTTATACTCCTTTGATTTCGAAACGTACATTAAATAGTCTCCCGCCATATATTCCTGTATTTCTCTTTAGTATGCAGGCTTACGTTTTTTAATTATTAACTTGCCCCGGGGCATTTCACCTCTTTACTTATAGTGTACCCAAAGTGAATTTTTTACATGGACATTGCTTATTCTAGGGCTGTTCCGATGTTTCGGCAACCACCGGTATGGCACCATTGGCAGGCTTGCTATCTGCCGGTGCCGATTCCCCCCCCCCCCCCCCCCCCCCCCCCCCCCCCCCCCCCCCCC